GATTTGTTGTAAATCACTTAAACTGTTAATCAATTTTATAATTTTTATAATTTTCATTAGCGACGAAAAACGATTCCCTTACTTTGTTGAAATTGTCTTATCTTTTAAAAAATTGCTTTACTGCTGCTATTGAATTTCAGTCCGTAGCAAAGTCCATTCAAACAAATCTGAAAGACGAGGCTTGAAAGTTATTTGAAGGAGACTAGTTGCAGTTTACAGTTTTATAAACAATATTTTTCTTTCTTTATGGAATTATGCATTTAAGCAGAAGTCTGTCTGAAATTTGAAGCTTGAAAGTTGTTTGAAGGATTTTAAAGTTTATTTGAATGAGACGAGTTGGTTAACAATTTTATAAGCAACATTTTTCTTTCTTTTTATGGAATTATGCTAAATTTAATTATGATATTTAGCGAGGGATTTCAAAGATATTTGAAGGAGACTTTGTTGAAATATGATTTTTCTTTACATACAAGTCACGAAAACGCTGCAAGAAACAGTAAAACACAGAATTGAAATTGACTAGTCAATATTTTCTTTTTAATGATTTAACAATTTGCACTTATTTGATAGCGATTAACACACTAGTTTCACTTGATTTCTGCACTGTCGCCGGCTTTTGACATTGCTGAAATCAACTTACTTCCTTTAATCGCTAACTACAGTGGAACTGTATCACTATAAGTCACTAATTTCTTTATTCGAAGGACCACTTGTATTATTTCCTGTAAAAGGAATAAAACCTAAAATATAATGAATGAAAACATTGGAGATAGCTTTTTCTCCAAGAAAATAACTGTAAAAAATGGTATTTTTTTTTCTCATATTTATTAAATTGCTATCAGAAATTTACAATAAATTTATGGGATAGCCCCTAAACTTAAAATTATATTATCTTTCGAGAATTCATTATCTTAATATTATTTTAAATCATATGAAGAAGTCTTGAATTTATTTGATCTTTAATTTTCATTTGATATCGGTGGAAACAGGAAATTCCATCTATGGAATTTGAGAGGAACATTTGACGATTTGGTGTACTTCTTTTAAATACGGAAACATTTCATATCATTGAACATACAAAGTTTTTTATTTTTATTTTTAAGTCTGATAAATTTTGAAATGATTTGTTTTTCATATAGGTTGTGAATTCATTGAATATGTTGATACCACGATAAAAAATACTTTTTTGCGATTTAAGTGTTAAAAAATTTGGTGGTCTCAACATATTTGATTGCCTTGTGACTCTCTCAGATATATTCTCGTTTGTTTTAAGTTCTATATCAATGTGTATAAAACCTAAAACAATTTTTTCAATGAAAAGAATAGTCTCATATTTACAGAGTGCATGGAAAGATAAAAACTTATTGTCATAAAGCGAAACTGTCCCTAATAATTTCATCCCTAAAGCCTAATGAACTAAAAATGTGTTTAACATTCTACGGCTAATCGATAAAAANNAAACCTAAAACAATTTTTTCAATGAAAAGAATAGTCTCATATTTACAGAGTGCATGGAAAGATAAAAACTTATTGTCATAAAGCGAAACTGTCGGTGTTGTGTGATATTTAAAATTGATGAATTTAATTGCTTTGTTTTGCAATCGCTGGAGACGATTTTGTTGTTCTATAGTGCATGATGACCAAATAGGAAGACAATAGATTAACCTTGAATGTATATATGAAAAGTACAAGTTCATCATAATTTTCTTATTAACAACATATCTTATTCTTCTCAGCATGCTGGTGTAAGGTGTTATACTTTTTACAAGATAGTCGATATGATTTTTCCAGGTCAGCAAAGGATCTAAAAACAAACCCAAATATTTAAATTCTTTTGTTATGACAATTTTTTTCCCATTGAAATTTATTTCGCTGAAGCTTTCATCGTTTATGCTGTTTGAAGTTTTAAAAATCATGAATTTTGTTTTTGGGATTGACATTCGCAGTGTAATCGACTTCAGAAAATTGTCTATTAAAAGTATATCGTTTTCCATATTTTCTTTAAGGATATTATAACTTGCTGCCTGGTAAACGAAAGCTGCGTCATCAGCAAAGAGTCTGACTGTGCTGTTAAGTTTCAGGTTTAATAAATCATTAATGTAAATAAGGAAAAGGAGAGGTCCAAGAATACTTCCTTGAGCCGCACCTGAAATAATTTCCTTTAAATCACTTTTCCCATCTTTTACTCTAACAAATTGAAATCGTTGTGTTAAATAATCTGATAAAACGTTATACGCTTTTCCTTTAATTCCTAAACTAGATAATTTCGATCTCAATACATCAAAGTTCAAACAGTCGAAAGCTTTTTGAACATCTAAAAATAAGCATGATATTTTTTTCTTTTCATTAAGCCCACTGACAATTTCATTGATTAAGCAAGAAACTGCAGCTGTGGTATTTTTGTTTTTAAGAAACCCGTATTGATTCTCGTGTATTAAATTATTTTCTTCGAGATGTACCATGAGCTGTTTCTTAATAACGCTTTCGAATATTTTAGACAAGATTGGCAGTATGGAAATTGGTCTATAATTTTCGACTTTATGGGGATTTCCACTCTTATACAAAGCTGTGACTCTTGCTATTTTTAATTGGTTCGGAAATAATCCTTTATCAAAATTAGAATTTATTAAGTTGGGGAGGATTTCCGAAAAAATATCTATGTTTTCTTTTATAAATTTAGACGTTATTCTGTCATCTCCACAAGCTTTATTTATTTTCAGAGCTTTGATTATGTCAGTGATTTCTTCTTTACATACGTGCTTGAATTGTAAAAGCTCACTTGTTGGAGCTTTATGTTCACGAAACTCAAATGAAAATGGGAGAGAGTTTTTTTGTTCTCTCAAATCACATGAACCAATTTCAATAAAATAATTATTTATTTCATTAGCTACGATAACTGGATTTTCACACAGATTATTGTTAATCACCAATTTAATACATTCATTTCTATCATTTTCTTTTTTATTCATCATTATCTCTTTCGTAATTTTCCAGATTTTCTTTGGATTATTCATGTGATCACAGAATAGTTGTGAATAATGATTTCTTTTAAGTATACCGACTGTTTTAATAACTGATGTTTTTAAGTCTAAATATTTATTTTTAAAAAATTCATTG